CGCCCCGAACCGGGCCGCCCCGCCCGTCCGCCCCCACCTGCCGCCGCGCCCCCGCCGCACTTGGGAGCCGCGCCGATTCCTCCCCGCCCCTGGGCCACGCAGCCCTGCCCCGCCTCGGGCTCCCGCCCGGCCTGGCCGCGCCCCCCTCCCTGGCGGGCCGCGCTCCGGGCCCGGGGAGGGGGAGTCCCGCACTCCCCGTCGCACCACCGCTGCCAGGGAGGCGACCCAGGCCCACGACCCGCTTGGTCGCAGCCTCCCGCTGCCTGGCCAGGCGCCTGCAGACAGACGGGCGCGGTGAACCTCGTCCCGGGGCTGTTCGTGGGGGTCACAGGTCCCGGAGACTTGGCGGGTGCGGGGAGGGGGCTAGCGTTCCTGCGCCTTACCGGCTACTGGGAGAGACCCCCCGCCCTCCAACCCTCAGCTCCTTCCAAGCCCCTCACACTCGCGGCAGAGCCAGAGCCCGAGCGACCACTGCCCCCACTGGGTCGGCCTGACGGGGAGGGAAGTGGGGGGGTGGGGGACAGTGCGGCTGCTCCTCTGGCTGAGGTCCTGGTCACAGGATGCAGCGACTTCTCTGTCCCGCCTGGTCAGGCTCCGTCACACCTGTGCCCGCCTCTGGAAGGGCACTGCAGATGGCTGGGCTGTAAGGAAGGTGACATCTGCCCTCTGCGGCCCGCGAAGCGCTGAGGAAGTCAAGGCCCTAAGCATTCTCTATTTGAATTCTTTCCAACAGAAGTTGTGCGCAGTTTCCCTCAAAAGACATCACAAACTTTAACCTCTGTTGGGTCTCATTTATTCACTTCTGGACTCCATATCAACTGACAACAGAAAGTGAATTCCCATGAAAACACTAAGGACGGGCAAACTTGTCCCAGAGGGCATTAAGTCTGCTCCCATGACTGCAGACGCTGGCCAGAAAGGGGCAAGGAGAAAGGGCTTTGCTGCTGGGAATTTCCAGCACAGTCTTGAGTGCCAAGTGTCCAAGGATGGGGCTGGTTCCCAGCTTTCTATCCTGAAGCCAGGAACAGGCCCGAAGAGAGCCAGTCAGGTCTGAGCGTGAACGCCTCCCTGTAGGGCTGTGCCAGCCCTCTTTGGGTATGGAAGCACTTATCCCAGAATGACCACACGCTGCACATATGTGCGTGTGCTCTGGACAAGTCTTGGGGCCTCCTGGCCTCATTCCTGGGTGTCCTTCTGCACACGTTTTGGGAGAGTAAGGAGTTCATCCCTCACAAAGTGTCCAGAGGACGGCCTGGCACAGAGCACGGGCTGTGAGCACCCACTGGCACTGTTATGACTCCCCCACCGGAACAGGGATCTTATCTGCTTGTTTCCTCACAGAACCCCTCATGTCTAAGCCTCTGGCACATAACAAGTGCTTAATAAATGTGGGAAAGGACACAGGCTCAGAGTCTCCAAAAGCCTGCAAAATGAGCCTGGTCAGCAGCACCTCTGCTGCTCAGGGTTTCTGCCTTTCAGTCCCAAGCCTTGATCTCTGTGCTGGTCAGGCAGCCAGGCGGGGCTCACCCACACAGCCCTTTCTGCATTTGAGAAGGTCCAGGGGCTGACAGCCTCTGAGAAATAGTGTTAACCTTGAATCACTTGATTCAATTAGTTCAAGGTGAACCAGACTCTATCGCTATTTTCTTCACTTGCCTCTATTACCTGAGGCATAGAATTAACCTTAAACCTTCCACTGCAAAGCTGTACTGGACGGGTATTTTAGCCATAGCTCTGGCTGTTTTCTCACCAAATCGCCTCATCTTCCTCGAGCCCTGGAGGCAAGCATGTTTCAAAGCCGTGAATAGAGAAAGAGGGAAGGAAGTGGCGGGCACACACCCGACCTGCCACCTGCCGTATGGTGCACCTCCCGCAGATCTCTCTAGAAGCAGCTCTGTCCGGAGTAACCAGGATATTTAGTGACCTTCAGTCGAAACGCTTAATTTCTTCCCCAGAGTCTGCAAGCTTCATTCTAGTTCTCCATTGCCCCTGATTGGTCTGTTTGGATCTGAAGAATGGGGATTTTCATTATTCCTGCTTCAAGTTTTTTAAAAATTAGCTTCTGGCCACTTCTGGATGTAACCGGGTAGTGCCCCCCCTTTTTCATTCTCAGCCCCATTCAGACAAGCTCCAGCTGCCCCAGAACAGAGAGCCAATGCAGGGCAGCCCCACCAAAGGTCAGGAAACAGGCCCTTGGTTCTGTGTTGGCCAGCCACCGGCCTGGCTGAGGCGAGCCCCAGACTATAACATCATCCACACCTGTGAAATGGAAACAGCCTACTTCTCCCCTCCCTTGGAGGATTCAGGAAATGCTCCCCGAGTCAGAGGTCTGGGTCAGGCCACCTCCCTTCTCTGGAAAATATGTAGGTTACTCCCTGGGTTAATTCCATGCCTGTTATGGGGTGGGGGGGGGGAGAACCCACCCTCCAAGTACGACTCTGATGAAACTCAAAATCCGTAAGAAGAGGTCTCCCCCAGTGGAAGGCTCTCTGTTTCAGATGAGGTCTGTGCTGTTTCCCCAGACGCCCCGACAGCCCCAGCCCCTTTCTTGGTACCACCAAGAGCACAGAACAGGAGGCCTGGTGCCAGACCACAGGAATGAAGATAAAAGAGAAACTCAAATTTCAAACCTAACGCATTTGATCCCTGCACATCTACTTAACTTGTCCATGACCTCCCTTCGACATGGTGACCTCTCCGTCAGGCAGGACCCATGCAGAGCCCTCTGTTTTCAAGCTCAGGGCAGTGACGTCTGTCTCTTTCTCCTGTTTAGTGCAGGGAGGTGTCATGCTCTCCCCATATGGCACTGAGCAGGACAATCATGCATTCGGCCCTGGAAGGTATGGAAACCGTCTCCTTAGTCCCCGGGAGTCACGGGCAACACTTCCCTGGGACAGAGCACACCAATGCCCTAGGCTGCATCTAGAAAAGCCACAAAAGTGTGGTCTGCTGGTCTATTTGGTTCTTGAAATCATCGGCCTGCAGCTTTTTTGTATTATTTACCTTTTGGGTAATCACTTTGCCGGGTGCTCACAGCAAAAGGGAAGGGACGGCACTAAGTCTGCAGCTTGGGCGGAGAGCTGGCCTGAACCCATCCTGGCAGCAGGATGGGCCCCGGGAGGTAGAGGTGAGTCATAGGGATCCGGGAGGGGAAACAGCACTAGCTAAATTTAAAATCCCTGCCTGATATATTTGTGAGGTTGCTTTATTATTTTCCTGGGGAAAAATGCACCAAATAGAGAAATGGCAGGGACACAGAAGAATTTTCTCGAGCTCAGGATGTAATTATTAACGCTATGATTTTCAGATGGAATCTATTCATTTGAGAAGCTGAGGAAACTTGGCAGAAAAGATCAAAAGCAAACTACTTGCAGTCGCCTGAGGTCGTCTGTCTGCTTAGACAGAGGACGGGCCCACAGGAAACAGGGCTTAGCTGGGATGCTGTTCTCAGTAATCACGGCCCTGAGAACCAATGCACAATCGAACTTGGCCACTCAGAATGTTTTCTACACGAGTTAAATAGACACGCAAGTACAATTGGTCACGTTTAGGGGCACCTGGGTGGCTCAGTAGGTTAAGCATCTAACTTCAGCTCAGGTCACGATCTCACAGTTTGTGGGTTCGAGCCCTGCCTCAGGCTCTGTGCTGACAGTGCAGAGCCTGCTTGGGATTTTCTTTCTCCCTCCCTCTCTGCCCACTCATGCTTTCTCTCTGTCAAAATAAATAAACTTAAAAAAAACCTGGTCATATTTAATGTGGAGAAGTCAGAATTCTATTCTTCTATTTTGTATTTTTTAAAGCAGTGATTTGGGGATGCCTACGTGGCTCAGTCAGTAAAATGTCTGACTCCTGATTTCAGTTCAGGTCATGATCTCACAGTTTGTGGGATCGAGCCCCGAATCGGGCTCTGCACTGACAGCATGGAGCCTGCTTGGGATTCTGTCTCTCTCCCTCCCTCTCAGCCCCTCCCCCCACTCACTGTCTCTCAAAAAAACAAAGTAGTGATTTGAATTCTTTCACGTGGCAGCAAACATTAAACACAAATTAGCATTCCTAACAACAAAGGCAGTCAGTCCAGTGGGGAAAACTTTCCACTTGGGATAGAGCCACACGGAATCAACCACATAGAAACTCTCGGGGAGCCGCTGGGGAGAAGGGGGTCCCGCTGGCAGCTGGGGTGAGGCTGCCCCCCGAACTCTGTGACAGGAAGACACTGTGCTTCCCTCACCTCTCGCTGGTCCTCCGTGCTGGTCCTCTGGACAGGACGCTGGAAAAATAAAAACAGTAATCTTTTTTATACTTAATATTCAATTACCTTCATCAAACTTCCTCAAGAAAACCCCACACACAGATCAATGTTCATTTAGCCAATATTAGTAGGATTATCCAGCCTGCTGCATGCCAAGTATTCGTCTAGATGTTGGGTGCGAAGAAGATATAAAAGGTCCCGATCCCACTGAGCTCCCCTTCTAGAGGGTGGAAGACGGACCATTAGTAAACGAACAAACCATTGTGAAGGATGAAATGCCTGCTGTGAAGGGGGACAGTTAGGGCAGTCAGGAAAGACCTTGTGGTGAGGTAACATTTTAGCTGAAACTTGAATTATATCCTATCCCTCTTGGAGCAAAAGCCAGCCACATCAAGGCCCAGGTAAGTGCTCTAGGTAGAGAATAGAAAATGCAAAGGTCCTGGGGTGCCTGGCTGGCTCAGTCAGTGGATGTGCAACTCTTGGTCTCTGGGTTGTGTGTTTGAGCCCCACATTGAGTGTAGAGATTACTTTAAAGTTTTTTTTAATTAAAAGAAAGAAAGAAGGAAAGAAAGAAAGAAAGAAAGAAAGAAAGAAAGAAAGAAAGAAAGAAAGAAAGAAAGAAAGAAAGAAAGAAAGAAAATGCAAAGGTCCTGAGGCTGGAATGAGCCAGCAAGTTCAAAAAGAGACAAAGTCAGGCCAGTGCGGGCTGTGACAGAAGATGTGAGGGAGGGGAGGCAAGTAAGGCGAGGGGGCTCCAGGTCAGGTCAGGCATGGCCTGTGGGGTTGTGGCCTGGATCTAGGTTCTGTTTCATTTTATTTCATTTTCCATCAGTTTTGTTGACATACAATTTACATATAATAAAACGCACCAACTTTAAGTATACAATTTTATGGGTTTTGAGCTGTGCGTAGGATTGCATAGCCACCATCTCGATCAAGACATTACACCTTTCCACCAGCTTAAAATGTTCCCTCCTGCCCCTTTGCGGTCAATCTCCCCCCGGCCCTGGTCCCAAGTGACCACTAGCGTCTGCTTTCTGTCACTCTAGTTTTGTTTTTCTAAAGTATAATATAAATGGCACCCCACAGCATGAGGTCGGTGGTGGCAGTCGCCTAAGCGATCCATGCCTCCTGATACTGGGCAACCCCCTCCCTGGCATGGGACCCGCATCCATGGACTTGTTTCAGTGATAGGTCAACAGTGACGAAACATCACTCCCAGGATCAGCTTGTAAAAAAACTGTGACTTGGGTCTAGCTGGCACTCTATTTGCTCACTTTGACGAAGCCAGCAGCCATGTTGAAAGCCGATATGGCAAGAGGCTCAGCGGGCCGGGAACGGGGGACTGTCAGCCCCTGGTCCAACAGAGCTGACAAACCTCTAGATGACTGTGGCCCTGGCCAATATCTTAGTCATAGCTTTGTGAGAGACAGAGCTGGGACCCCGACCTACAAAAGCTGGGTGATAACTGTGCTGTTTTATCCACCCTGTCCGTGGCCATTTGTCACACAGCATGAATTCCTAGCACAGTAGTAACAAAGCAGACTTCTTTCACTTAGTACAATGTTTGAGATTCACCCACATAGTAGTGTGGATTTGATGTTTATTGTTTTATTGCTGAGGAGTGTTCCTTTGTATGAATATACCCCAGTTTGCCTCCACCCACCTGCTGATGGACATTCGGGCTGTACCCAGTTTTCGTCCATTTGGAATACAGCTGCTTTGAATGCTCAAGTGCAAGTCTTTGAGTGGTCACACATTCTCATTTTCTTGGAATAAATACCTACTTCTAGGATTGTGGGATCTTAAGGGGAATGTATGTTTATGAGAAACTACCAATCTATATTGGTGTGGCTGTACCATTTTGTATTCCCACCAGCGAGGGGTAAGATTTTCAGATGCTCTGCTTCCCTATCCACATGTGCTTAGGAGTCTTTAATTTTGGCCATTTTTGTAACTATGTAGAGACATCTCATTGTGGGTTTAATGTGCATTTTCTTAATGACTGTTAACACTGAGCATCTCTTCATGTGCTTCTTCAAATCTTTTGTCAAGATTTAAAAATGAGATCGTTGGTCTTCTTATTGAGTTGTAAGAGTTCTTTGTATATTGTAGATACAAGTGCTTTGTTGGATGTATGTTTTGCAAATACTTCCTCCCAGTCTGAGCTTATCTATTCATTTTTCCTCCCTTTTTCTTTCTTTCTTTCTTTCTTTCTTTCTTTCTTTCTTTCTTTCTTTCTTTCTTTCTTTCGACAGAGAGAGAGTGCATGCACACATGCAAGCAAGCAGGGTGGGGAGGGGCAGAGACAGAGAATCTCAAGCACGCTCCACATTCAATGCAGAGCCTGACACGGGGCTCAATCTCACGACCCTGGGATCATGACTTGAGCCAAAATCAAGAGTCAGATGCCCAAGTGACTGAGCCACCCAGGTGTCCCATTGTCTATTCATTTTTTGCAACTATTCTTTCAAGAGGTAAAGGTTGGGTATGTATGTATGTATGTATGTATGTATGTATTTTGAGACAGAGAGAGCACGAGCAGGGTAGGGGCAGAGAGGGAGAGACAGTATCCCAAGCAGGCCCTGCACTGTCTGAAGAGTCCAACTCACAAACCTTGACCTGAGCCGCAATCAAGAGCTGGACATTTAACCGACTGAGCCACCAAGGCACCACAAAGTTTTTAATCTTGATGAAATCCATTTTGTCAATTTTCCCTTATAGCTCATGCTCCACCTGGGCCCCCCTTTTCTAAGTGGCCTGGGAGCTTTCTCCAGGCAAGAAGTGGGGATCCCCAAAGGGCTCACCTAACTTGCTCCCATCTCTCAGGGATCATTGTCCTTAATTCCCTGGTGTCCAAAAACCTGACAGCTGATGTCACTTTGTATATACATATTTTGTTCAGTTTCTTAGTTGTTTCAGGCAGGAAGGTAAATCTGTCTCTGTTACGCCATCTCAGTCAAAAGCAGAAGCTTGCCATAGTTTAAATTTTTTTTTTAAATAACAGCTTTATTGCCATATAATTCACATGCCATAAACTTGCTTTCACTTTTCAAAGCTGTTCTGAGTACAGAAGTTTCAATGGTCAGTGGTTTTTATTTGTTTTTCTTCTTTTCTCTCAGTGTCTTCGAGTTGTTGCCCCATTGTCCCTGGATGGTGTGGTTGCTCTCACTCAAAAAGATTATTGACGTCACTTTGTTGCTCTGTATGCAATGCATTTTTTTCTCTGAGCGTTCTAAAGAGTTTTTCTTTAATTCTCATTTTCATCAATTTGATTATGATGTGCCCTGGTGCGATTTTCCTATATTTATTCTGCTTGAGGTTTGTTGAGCTTCTTGGATCTGTGGGCTTATTGTTTTCATCAAGTTTGGAAGATTTTCAGCCACTTTGGCAGCAAGTTTCCTATCCCCTGGGGTCCTTGCCAGGGTATTAAATCCATATCCTGAGAGAATGCCTTACGTCAACAAACTCTCCCTTTTATAGTCGCGTGTTTGGCCCCCTGATCAAGCACCTTCAAAATCCATTCCATGGCTCATTCTCGCAGCTCCTTTGGCAGATGGCCCCTGTTAGCCTTAAAAATAAAACTTCCAGTTACCTTACCAGCAAAAGATAGGTTTATCGGGGAATAAAAGAGAATTGCCACGTGGGCAAGCAAACTACAGCAAAACCACTGGTGAGTCCAAAGAGCAAAGGGGAGGCGGACTCTTTTAAAGAGCAAAGAGGGGGAAGGTAAGTTGGGCCGGCGGTTATAGGCAAAAGGTCCAGGGGAGCAAACTAGGAGTTTGAAGTGAAGTGTCTTCTCATTGGCTGGGCTGTGAGAGTCTCCCACTGGCTGGGCTTGTTAGTCTCTCATCGGCTGGACTTGCGATCGTCTCTCATTGGCTGGGCTGTTGCTGGGGTGATAAGTAAAGCCTTTCTTCCTGCAGGTGGAGTAGCCTGAAGTAGCATCCACCCGCAGGGTCCCTCTCTTCTTGGGTGAGCAGTTGATGAGGAGTGGTAGGGCCTGAGAGCGCCCCCTGCATAACCTCCCAGCTACATTTTAGCGATTTTTTCTGCTACTAATTTTCACACCCCTTTCTCTCTTATCAGGCCCAGCATTGATTTAATGAGGCTATGCTACGACTTTTCCCCAGTTGTCCGGCTGGCAACCAGGAGGGGGTGGGGGGTGCAGATATTGAAAGGGACCTTGTTGTCTTGTTTTCGAAGCCTCTACAGAATCTTCCCGTAAGGGAACGCTAGCTCTTCCTAGTTAGGGGTGAGCAACCGTTGCAGGCTCTAAAGTTTCAGAAAAGTCTGAGGAGCCAAAACCTTTAGGGGCATCCACCCAGATATACTCATCGGATGTGTCAAGGTTTTCCCAACCAGGACCCTGACCTTGGCATTGCAAAGCTACCTTGAGTGAGATTCAAGGCAGCTCTATTTTTAATTTTTTGAGGAAACTTCATGCTGTTTTCCATAGTGCTTGCATCGATTTACATGTCCACCAAAGTGCACAAGGATTCCGTTTTCTCTACGTCCTCGCCAACTCTTGTTAATTCTTGTCTGTTTGATAGTAGCCATTCTAACAGGTGTGAGGGGATATCTCAGTGTGGTTTTGATTTGCATTTCCCCAATGATTAGTGACATTGAGCATCTTTCAATGTACCTGTTGGACGTCTGTATGTCTTTGTTTTCCTTGGGACAATGTCTATTCAAATACTCTGCTCATTTTTTTTTTTTTTAATCGTCAAATGGTTAACATACAGTGTAGTTTTGGCTTCAGGAGTAGATTCCCATAATTCATCACTTACAGACAAACACCCAGTGGTCATTCCAACAAGTGCTCTCCTCAATGCCCATCACCCATTTTTCCCACCCTCCCAACCTCCCACCCACATCAACTCTCAGTGTCTCTGTATTTAAGAATCTCTTATGGTTTCCCTCCCTCTCTGTTTGTATCTTATTTTTCCTTCCATTCCCCTACGATCATCTGTTAAGTTTCTCAAAATCCACACGAGTGAAATCATCTATCTGTCTTTTCTGACCGACTTATTTCACTTAGCATAATATACTCCAGTTCCATCCACGTTGCTGCAAATGTACTCTGCCCATTTCTTAGTTGGATTGTTTGGATTTTTTGCTATTGAGTTGTGTGAGTTCTTTATATATTTTGGACATTAATGCTTTACCAGATACATGATTTGCCAATATTGTCTCCCATTCCATAGGCTGCTTTTTATTTTGTGGATGGCTTCCTTTGCTGTGCAGACGGTGTTTAGTTTGATATAGTCCCACTTGTTCATTTTTGCTTTTGTCACCTTTGCATTTGGTGCCAATACACTTACTTTCGGTTGTTAACTGTCTCCAACTTCTCAGATCCCTGGACGGGGTGCCAGTGCCAGTCAGCATCAGCGAGATCATCGTGCTTGCATGTCTCTGTCACCCTCCCAAACAGACATCCTTCTCAGTCACTGTACTAACCACTCTTCTCCCAATTTATTCCTGGTGAAAATGTTGCCAGTGGGCTGCCTCCTTGTTCAAGGCGTCCACACACTATGCGGGATGAGCTGCTCACTACCAGCTGGGCAGCGAGTGATCTAGTTACAAATCCCCGCCTCACCATCTACTTTCTCAGACCATTGCTGCTACCAACCCTGTTAATTTGGGTCCTCTAGTAAGCATACCGTGAGATGCCATTCAGAATGCAAGAGATTCATTGGGGGCTCATGGCTATGAAAGATCAGGAGTGGGGGTGGGGAGTGAAATTGGGCCGAGGAAGTCGGCAGACTGCAATACTGATCTGAAGCCTGTGAATGGAAAGTGGGAAGAAGTAGGATCGGGCAGAGAGAATCTAACTCTAGTGCAAATCTAGCGAAGTTTGGGCCAACCCAAAGGAAGGGGTTGGAGGAACTTTGGCGCAGAGATTGTCCATTAGAGGAGTCCCGGGTTGATGGGTATGGTCCACCTAGAGCCCCCGCCATGCTCCATCTCTGACCAGAGACGACCCAGAAAGAGAGTGAACTCAGCGTACTGAACCTGGCGGGCAGCCAGCTGCACTCCTAGCAGTTGAATAAAAATTCTCTCTGGAAGGGAGATCAGAGTGGAGCCTCCTCCATGGCTGGCTGCTACCACAGAATAGTCACTTAGTATCCTAGCATCTGTCAAAGATGATCAATGAAGATTTTATTTTTTTAATGCGCTCATGGATATTAACACATTTGCCATGCTTCAATCTGTTACATTTACTTTTCTTTTTGATACTCAAATTGTCCTTACTTTGGCTAGTGGGAGCGCCTCCGGCTAGCGAATCCTCTGATGC